CGGTATTAACTGTTTTCTAAAGTTTTTTTTTTTTTGCTTTTTGAGTAAATTTAATGAGTAAAATTGGAAGAATAAAATCTGGTATCTTGCTTATTACAAAACACTACTCAAAATGATTTATGCACTTGATAGAACCACTACAAATGTACGCATTAGATATGACATTGTATAGCTTCGGGTTGTGTTTATGTGCGTTGGCCAGACACAACCTCCTCATTAGGGGAAGGAGAGGTTAGGTTGTGATGTAGGTAAACATAATTATAGATGTCTTTGGATCCTATTATTTCTTTAATGTCCCTATCCGCTGCAAGCCCTCCCTCCCAACACAGGGCCCACTACACACCACTCACCAGTCCCCTCCATTGTCGCATAGCCCTCAAACCATGGAACCCACTTAGGCCAACACCTCTCCATGCAGTGCAGTCCCATAACCAACAAAGAACAAGCATAACACAAACATATTGGAATTGGATTGTGGGAATTGGGTACTGGTGGAGTCTGCAATTGGAGTATTGGGATTGGAATTTGATGTAGGTGTTAAGTCCCCTCGTGGGTGGGGGATACAGGACAGACTTGGATTGTGGAGCATTGAATTTGGTGGAGTTTGCAATTGGGTAGGAATTGGATTTTGGCAGAGTGTGTGTTTATGAATATGTTTTCGATTGTGGCGGAATGGTGGTGACAGTAGATTAGAGTGATAATGGATTGGATAGCAGGTTCTAGGTCTCAGTTTTTTGGGGAGTTGGGTGGCAAGTTTCAAATGGTGGGCGTTGGTGTGGGGAGTGCTGATTGGGAGAGGTTTGCTGACTGCAGACAAAGAAGAAAACATCTACACGACCATATTTTGGTATTCTTTTCATTTACTGTAATGGAAAACTCAATTATCACTTTGCTCGGTAGTGTGGGGGGTTTAGTGCAACTAGTATTATAGTTTGGAAAGTTTTTGCGTAGTTAACCCTTCAAGAACCTGTGCCTTATCATGTTGGAGATTAGAGTCATTAGANCTTTGCTCGGTAGTGTGGGGGGTTTAGTGCAACTAGTATTATAGTTTGGAAAGTTTTTGCGTAGTTAACCCTTCAAGAACCTGTGCCTTATCATGTTGGAGATTAGAGTCAACAAGCTGAGACATTTGTATAATATTCAATTGCAGATCATGACATTCAATTGAAAACTTTACCATGGAGTATGTGAATTACGACATTGTGCAAGTGCATCTATGTTTAAATCTGGGGGGCTGCCCTTCATTGACAATTATGAAGAGAACTCTTTCTGTGATAACTTTCATATCTACTAAACGGTTGTAGTTTTATCTGAAACTGCCTGTTTTTATTAAGATGTTTACCATTTTATGCGTTTAATCTTTGGTACACAATCATGCAGCTCATTCTGATACGACTGTGGCAAGGATGTTGGTGGGGAACAAATGTGATCTAGAGAACATCAGGGATGTAAGCGTGGAAGAAGGCAAGAAACTTGCAGAGGCAGAAGGCTTATTCTTTATTGAGACATCTGCTCTGGATTCCACAAATGTTAAAAAAGCTTTTGAGATTGTCATCCGCGAGATCTATAGCAATGTTAGCCGCAAAGTCTTGAATTCTGACTCATACAAAGCTGAATTGTCTGTCAATAGGGTAAGCCTTGTAAACAATGGGGCTGATGCATCTAAGCAAAGCAGATATTCATGTTGCTCAGGATGATTCCAGCTCAACTATTTTTGCCAATGAGTCGGACTTGGTCAAAGGTTGATTTTGCTCCACAGATCACTATTGCCAGAGTTGTTCTTTATTCCCCAAGTAAGATATTGGAGGTTTCCTTACATAGAAGATTTGTGTTATGAAAGACAATAAAGTTTTATGTAATGAATTCTTTAATTTAAGCGTATGAATGTTGATTGATTGGTTGAATCACCCTTTCAAATGTAACCTTGTCCAGTTTTTTTTTTTTTTTCGAGGCAGCATGTTATTTTGAGGCATGGCCGTTTTTGTTTAGGACTTCCTCTGGCTGTACCACATTGACCACCCGAATAGTTGGGATAAAGATTTTGTTGAGTTGGGTGAGTACCATGTTCCACGCTTCCACTTAAACTTGACAATAGCCAACCCCCACCTCCATGGTGGGAGGGAGGGGGATGGTGGGCTAATTCAGTACGGCGCTCAGCCACAGGAAATTTTTGACAAAAAGAGGCAGACACTAAAATGTAAACAAAAAAGGGAACCTTGAGCTACTCCACTTAGGTATAGCCTTACCTTGATGTATTTTTTTAAAAATTTTGTTTTACTTTTTCTGAGTGATAATGAAAGCGTCACTCTTGAGATGTGTGATTGTTTAACAATTGTAAATAAGCGTAAAAGCAGCGAAGTTTGCCGGTTAAATGCTTCAATGTAGCTTTCAACGTTTTTGGGGCCCCTAATATTCCCATGCTTGCACCCTTCTTTTTCTTTCTTTTGTGTTTTTTATTTTTTTTTAACAGAGCTACATAATTCATGTCTCATCTCTTTTTACGTTGCTCAAAACATAGGATTGGTTCCCCTTATAGTAAGAAAACTAAGTTGTTTTATCAGTTCATTTACTATCATAATTTCACGTCCAACATGTTACATTCAAATAAATCTATAGTGTTACTCGAATCACAAGGGAATAATTGTGGTGGTGAATTTCAGCAAATACTCTCCTACGGTCATAGAGAACCTCTTAGGATTCCCTCCTTGTAGGATTACTTTTGCTGATCTTCAAAGCGATCATTATCGATGAGATTTTTTGAGTTCTTTTAGTTTTTTTTTTTTTTTTTCTGTTGTTGATGGTATCAAATGTACTTTATGTGTTATTGGCTCCATAGTAACCATGAATGCTTCTTTATGTGGTTGTACTCTCGTCTAAGAAGGCTATTAAGGGTAAGTGGAGAACGAAGAGGGGATCCAAGGTGATTGGTCGGACTGGTAGAAGACACCTCCAATGTTATAAACAATATATGATCTCAGAAAAGAAGTATAGCAGACTCCAGTGCAATGTTATTTGAATCCTGGGTTGATTTGGTATATGATATAAGTATGACTATTCGGTATAGTACATCTATGTACACGTTATAATGGGCATAAATTTAGTTGATACGTTTTTTTTTTTTTTTTTTTTTGTGGTTGTTCATTTTTTACACGTTCACTTTCTCTATTATGAGATTATATATAATTATATATTCATATACAAATAATTAATTGGTATTTATTTTTTGAATTTAGTTATAATTTGTGATTGGAAGTATAAGTGATTCGAATATAAATTCACCCGTTTAGGATCATGGCTTGGTTTGGCAGATTTCGGATTCCGAAATGCCCCGTATTCAGTGGGCTGGTACTTCTATGTTTTTGGCCCAAATTATGTATTGTAAATTAGACTAGTATTTCTCTTTTGGGGTATAAACTAACTTTAATCCTACTTAATTTTTAGTAGTAAAAAAAGGTTCTCCATATTTTGAAAAAGCTTAAATGCGGTTCTTGTATTGGCGCGAACAATAAAAGGAGGGGCAATTATTATATTTTCATTACCCATTTTACCCTCATCACACATTTTCAGCCCAACAATCTAATAACAACTTCATCAAAGTTATTGCAACAAAGATCTAAAAACTCAAATAAAATCGATATATCAAAAGCCAGAAGATATAGATATATATATACATATGTATATCTACTCACATGAAAAACATGGACCAAAGTCTATAATATAAAACAAGACAAATTTCAATAAGCTTATTCAACGGTTTTAAATAAATTCATCCAATGACCAACAACATTACTCTTAAATTTTCACCGAACCTTCAGACACGAGTTACTCTTAATTTATATATATATATATATATATATATATATTTTATTTTTTTATTTTTTTTCTAGGTAGGTGTACCTCTGAGAGGTACAAGACCTCTATGTATAAGAAAGTGAGTGTGTTTATTGCACAAGAAGCTGCAAGTGCTCATAGTCTAAATTTTAATCATAACTGTGGCGTCACACATCAAATTTTATTATGTACAAGTAGAAAATGCAGATGCATGAACATGTAAAATATGTCTTCTAATTGGTTCTTAAATTTAATCTTGTTTGGGTTACACAAGAGCATTAGGTGATTCAAAGTAGGATATATTATTGCATATTTAATCTTAGATAAGATTTTTTAACGATCTATATTTATGGAGAAGAGGTTACATTATGATGACGTTTGACGATCTGTGTTTTGGTATACTTATCTGACGATTTATGTTTATGGATAAGAAGGTACATTAACAATTTGTATTTTACTGTACCTATCTGACAATTTGTGTTTTAGTGTATTTGTCTGACGATCTGTGTTTATGAGAAAAATGTACATTAATGACCTCTGTTTTAGTATACATGTCTGACGATGTGTTTTAGAGTACCTGTCTGATGATTTGTATTGATGGAAAAAAAGTACATTAACGATTAGTGTTTTAATGTACCTGTCTAAAGATCTGTGTTTATGAAGAAAAAATGTACATTATGATCACGTCGTTTTTTAGAATTTGTGTTTCAATTACATGATGTCTGTTACGTGCAACTGGAATTGAAGGAGTCAAATGGTTTACTGGATTACATCTATTCTTCAGCTGTTAACTTAGTGTTCCTTTTTAATAGGTAGTAGTTGATATTTTATAGGAGTAAATTGTTGTTGTTGCAACTTGCAGATAATAGATGTTTGTTCCTAGCTATTTTTTGTTTATAGGTCTTTATAAATAAGGCTATGTCACTGGATAAAAGGCATCAAAAATTATTTCAATATCTTTATCTACTAGCTTAGCCTAACTTGGAGGTTTTCTGGTTTCCTTCTAGGCAAACCAGTACATTACATATATCCCCTGTTCGTTCTTTCTATTCAAAGTATAGAAGCTTAAGGGAAAGAATTTGTTGCCTTCCAGTTCGCCTTCTTCTAATCGACCCAAACACTCAATCAGTTACATCATCACGTAACAAATTGGTATCAGAGCCAACAATGAAGGATTAGTGCATCACTTGTCTTGAATCAGAAGTGAGCCCATTAAGTTCTGGTCAAGAACAAATGATGAAAGCAATACAAGAAATATTCTTGGCGATGAACTCTCACTTTGATCAGCTCATTGCGGGATGCCATAGCCAGTAAGGAGAAGAATCATCCAATCGCAACGGAATGGGCAAAAACAATGGCAACCCAGCTGCGCCAACCAACCCCATTATGCTGAAAATATCGAAGTTAGATTTCCCTCATTTCAATGGCATTGACGACCCAACAAGTTGGATATGCCGAGCGGAACAATTTTTCAAGTTCCAACATACAACCATTGAGGAAAAGGTTCCATTGGCAACTTACCATTTGGAAGGAGAAGTCCAATTATGGTATCAATTGCTCAAGGAAGAATCTGGAGTGATTACCTGGGAAATGCTCAAGGAGGGTCTACATGCTAGATATGACCCTACTCAATTCGAAGATTTCTTTGGCAACCTTACAAAATTAAAGTAAATAGGATCTGTTCGGGAGTACCAAACTCAATTTTAAAGGATGCTAAGCAGGGCAGGAAAGCTCTTGCCTTCTTAACAGATTGGTTTTTTTGTGAGTGGCTTAAGGGAGAATATTAGAACTAAAGTTCAAGTTTCTGGACCAGCTACGTTGTAGGCTGTTGTGGGGTTGGCTCGTAGCAAAGTTTCAAAATATGCAAAGGACTCCACCACTTGAGACAAGAAAAACTACCACAACCCTCTCACCAAATGGTTCACGCACCATAACTCTTCCAGTTCAAAAACTCACTCCAATAGAACTCAATGAGCGACGACATAGAGGATTATGCTTTAATTGTGATAAGAAAATTTTCCCCAAAAATCACTGTAAGAAACTCTTCCTCATTGAAGGTTGCTGGTCTAAAGAAGAAGGCGCCAATGATGTTAAAGGGGAGGACCTAGAGGAGGAACAAAATGAAGGCGCGAAAAGACCCCCGAGATATCGCTTCATGCCATCTCCGGAACCCACACTCCCCAAACTATGAGAGTAAAGGGAAACATTGATCATCATATGATCACTGTTCTAATATATTCGAGTAGCACGGATAACTTTTTAAGTGACAAGGTTGCTAAGAAGTCGGGTTTACAAGCAATGAAGGATGGGTGTTTTGAAGTAATTGTGGCTAATGGCGAGAAAATTTCCAGTTCAAGACGATGCCAAGGAGTATGAATGTCACTCTAAGGTACCCCCAATTGTCGTGGATTTCTATCTCTTGCCATTAGGAGGCTGTGATGCTGTTCTTGGAGCGCACTGGTTAAGAACTCGCGGACCCATTAGCTGGGATTTTTCAAAGCTGCAAATGAAATTTGTCCTTGAAGGAAATGAGGTTATATTGTAGGAAAATTCAACTCCCGATAACAAATTTGTGGCAGATGTCCAGATCAATTGAGAGATCAATAAGAGGAAACAAGGAGCTATTTTGCAACTCTTTTCCATCAACCTGGGCAGAACTAAAACTGGCCCAAGTTTCCGTGATCCTAAATTACAAATTCTTTTGAGTTCTTATAAGGTTGTCTTCTTTGAGCCCCAAGGATTGCCACCTACATGAACCCATGATCTCCAAATTCCTTTGGTACAAGGAAGTAGTGCAGTGAGCGTTCTGCCATATCGCTATCCTTTTTATCAAAAACACAAGATAGAGAAGATGGTCTCAAACATA